GGCGGGGGGGGGGGGGGGGGGGTCGGTCCTTGAGGCATCTGCTCAGCTCCCCGCAGGCCAGAATTGGTCCCCAGCTCTGCAGACAGAGCATCCAGCTGCACCCTGGACAGATGACGGGGAGCTCATCACCTCACACGGCAACTGGCCCCGGGGACGACTCCAAACGCCTCCTTCACCCGTCCCTAAGCTCGTCACCCTTCTCCCACCCACACCTACTGGCCAGTTCTAGCCTTGGAGTCCATTCCTTTGCCACTGGCAGCTGTTCAGGGATTTGGAGATAACAGTTGTGCCCTGCTGAGCTCCAGGATCCCCATTCTCCACTATTCGTAAGAAATCATACCCGGGTACCTTCCCCTTAGGGATGTCTCCTAAAGACCATGCTTCACACAGCTCTCCAACATTAAGAGCAGAGAGGGTGGAAGACAGTAAGACTTTCACCTCCCTTGTGTGGATACTGTGTCTTTGTTAATCCATCCTGAGGTCATGGCATGATAATCATTCTGGAGGCTTGTGCTAATCATATGGGCATGAAGTCATCTCATACCATTTCCCTATCTGGTGTCTGAGTGCCAGCTGGCACTACTCACCAGGCAGTGGCCATACACAGGGTCACAGGAGCTGGAGTGGCCATTACAGTTGCAGCCGGAGCAGGTGCCCAGGTAGGGCCCACTGGGCACCCGGGTGAAGTGGGCATCACAGCTCTCACAGGACAGGCCGGAATAGCCAATGGGGCACCTGTGGGGACAGGACCGAGAGAGTGGCTGCAGGAACCAGCAGCCCTGCTGTTTCTCTGCTACCCTTGTAGGGTCCCTGGCATTCACGGCCCGGTGGGCCAGGCACCTGCACTCCTCTACACTGTGGGCGCGGCCATGGCTGGTGGCGTGGGTGACTGTGGTGTCCATGGTGACGTCACTCAGCCCCACACTGGCCATCTTGGCGTTGTACACCGTCTGGATGAGCACCGCCTCCAGGCTCTGCAGCACCTGCAGCATCTCGGCCCGCTGCACCGGCCGGCCGGACTCATGCACCCAGTGCTCCTGGGTGGGTGAGAAGGCGTCGCACG